ACACCGTGATGTGGTATGAAATACGACGGCGTGTATTCGTAGTTATCTAATTTTGGAGCCACAAGTGATATGTAACCCTCTCTTATATATTAATTAATGACACCGTCATAAGCTTCTTTCAATCTGGGCGAAGCGAGCATCTTGCGCTCCAAACAATGGAAACGTTTTTCCGCCATTTGACGCGAGTCAACGAGAGACAAAATATCCCCTTAGGGTAGCGCTACACTATATCGACCGTCGCGATCACGAATGGTCGTGCGGACGTAAATTTCCTCGCATAATCTATCAACTGGGCTAATTATAGGTGGAACGTTCACCTCCTCCATCTCTCAAAATTTACGAACTAACGACTCGAGCGGTTCGACAGCCATACAACAATAGGAGGTTGCCGAAATATTATCCATGATAGGGGCGGAACCAACGATGACGTAGCCCAAGACGGTCTCCAGTGCGTAAGGCGCGGTATACGAGGAGTTGCCTCTGACCTTATTGTGTAACAAAGATGAGGGAAAACCGATGCTCCAATAAGCATGTCTATATCTCCGGGGACGGCGTAAGTATTGTCTGCCAGAGTCAAATTCTCAAAATCAATCATCGCTGAGGTGTCGACCGAAACGGTTGGCAGACGCTCGGTGACTTTTTCTACTACTAATGCATTTATATTAAAGTTAATACTACGATCTAGCTGAGAATAAAATTTTAAATTTATAGAGCCCCGTATATTTTTATTAGTACCTCCAATACCTCTGACTACGGGACATGAAGGTGTCTTATTTACTAACAATCCTAAACGCTGGCAACGTTGCCGTGTTATGAAGCTACTCCGTGAAGCACTGTCTAGTAATGCACGATCACTCTGTTCGTTTCCATGCGAAATCCTAACTACGATACAGGCTGTACCCAGCAACACGGTGGATGGAGACCGCGTTCACGTATTCGATAGTGAGCACAGGGCAACGTCACCGGTCGACCGTTAGAAGCATCGACTTTAGTATGTAGTGTAGTTTTCTTGTCCGATTTACTTGACGTGGATATGTTGCCACTTTCGAAATGTAATAACGTGTGATGTCTGCTGGCGCACTTGTTACACACGGAACTAGAATTGCATTTAGCAACTAAATGTCTATCGCTTAGGCAATTTAAACATAAGTTGTTCGTCTTTACTATTCTATAACGTTCGCTTGGTGAATGTTTACGGAAGATTGCACAATTATACAAATTACCGTGTTGTTTATTCTTACATAGTACACAGGCGCTATGAGGCGATGTAGGCGCAGCGGTTACGTACGTCAGAGACCCAGCGGTCCTAGTTGATGAGACCGATCTGCGCTCGACACATTTCTTATTTTCTTGTTTGACCTTCGAGGAACGCTGTATTACCTTAATTTGATATCGTACAAAGGAAGCTTAGGAGTCGAATGACGGTAACTCAGAGCAACGATGCTCCATTTCAAACGTACGCACGGTGTCCGAGTCTAGCTTTTTTAATGCAATATGCAGAAACACAAAGTCCATAAGGTCATTAAATTTCAGGAAAAATGACTATTCTTGATTTCGCTTAGTAACGGAAGCTCCTCTGAACGTAGCCAAGAACTGCTCAAAGCCATGAGTTGGCGGGTGATCCTAATAGCTTTAACATAACGAAAGTTGTTTGATCAAATAGGTATAGCACCACCGGGGCTACGAAACATGATATCCCATAATCTAACGCATACATTGTGCGCTTTGTGCACGTTTCTGCGAGCACCTTAACGAATAATCGTCGGAGTTCCGGTGTGTAACCCGAACAAATGGACTGTGCCCTACCACTTAATTTACTAATTAAATAATACAATCTTTCAGCGTCCGATGACAATGAATTGTTATGTATAGTGTTTTGAAAGCTATTAATAAACATCGGCCACGTTTTAATATCTCCATTGAATACTGGAATATCTATAGGGGGCAATCTAAGTGATTCACGTGCTCGTACCTGAATTTCTGGTTTTGCTTCGCTCTGGGCTAGAGACTGTAAGAGCTTTGCCGTCCTTTTTATGCGACACAACATATCTTCAAATGATAGAAGTGGTTGATTCACTGTATACTTAGGGTCGATTTGTAATTCTAAACTATTAATTTTGTCTAATATGTTTTCGTAATTTGATCCCAAAGAGTCCACTGTTTCAATTTCACATAAAAACGTTTCCCGCACTGAATCTAAGTTAATATTTTTATGTGATCACTTATATATTGTATACGTGAAAAAAGTACGGCCCTCTTGGCGTAAAGAGTTTTAAGTTTAATTTCATTTCCACTAACTGCCATCTTAAATCACTCTAATTAATATTAGATTATCACGAACAATATCGTACAACGTTGGAAGACGAAAACTTCACAATGCGTTACTGTCTAATCGTGCCGTATCACGACGTTAAATTGAACACTTTGTCACTACTATTTTTTTTCTTGCGTGAAGGTAAGTTGCAAAACAAATGACATAACACACGCGGCGACTAAGTAGGAATTTAGAACTTGTATAAATGTTACAAATGGCGGAATAAGGTAAACAGAAACAAAGCGGGTCTAACTATTATAAATAAATAAGTATCATACCTAGTGCTCATGGGGGGATATTTGCCATAGTCGCCACGCTTGGCGAGCGGGTTGGCAACCGCAGTTTTTTATTATGTTATTGTTGTTATTAGGAAGATGCTGCTGCCCATCTCCTTTCTGTGTCCCTCTGTAGCCTCTTATGACACCCACGATTAACGAATCGACGGATTCAACTCGGCTGGGCAGCGTTCGGGAAATTACGACACATCTTCTCGTCAGGTATACCTCAATCTCTGAAAACCAGAGTGACTGACATAGCCCAACGGATTAGTAAGCTGAAGTGGCAATGGGCCGGCCATATAGCTCGAAGAACCGATAACCGATGGGGAAGAAAGGTTCTCGAGTGGCAGCCTCGTACCGGTAGGCGTAGTGTAGGGCGACCCCCCACTAGATGGAGTGACGACCTGGTAAGACATGCAGGAAGTCGATGGATGCAGGTGGCTCAGGACCGTGCTTTGTGGCGTTACTTGGGGGAGGCCTATGTTCAGCAGTGGACTTGTGAAGGGCTGTAATGATGATGATGATGATGATGACCTATGCAAATAAACTAGTTCCCAAATAAATTTCAATTTGAACAATGAGCGTAATGTTGATGTTAAATGAAGTTAAATCTATCCAATATTAAACTAGAGTGTATTGTCCAAGGAATTGGTTCAGCAGTTCGACTCGATGAGGCTACAGGGCATCAGTTCCAAATCCACTCGAATGGACCAGAAAATAGTTGAGCGGCGGGCCTAGGGGTTCCCGAGTTCGATTCCCAGGTCGAGCCTTGACCCTATTGTGCGAGATGTTATACTAGGTGGACTGTATACACGGTTGGCTTCTTATGCCTCAACAAGATGGCGGACGTGGCACGCGACAACCTTGGACAATGCACTCGCTCTTCCAAATCTATTGCTTCGCCAAGGTTAGGAGGAAGTTCTACTTGAGCCGATAAGGAGGAAAAAAATGGGGCAGGTTAGCTAACAAACAAAAGGCTCAAGTAGCAAAATTACGGGAAACACTCTTACCGGGGTGTAATTCTGATGCCGCGGACGACGTTTCTGTTGCGGTGATGTGTTGAAAGAGGAACTGGCGCAACGTGAGGTGGTTTCTTCTGGGGCACCCCAGAGATGCGATCCAGGCTAGCGGTGCGAAGCAAGAGCGGTGCGCGACGATATCTCACACTATGTGAGGCGGTTACTTCTGGGGTGCGACTGCCCCAGGTGGTGCGGTCGAAACTAGCGGTGCGCAGCAAGAGCAGTGCGCGACGATAACTCACACTATGTGAGGCGGTTATTTCTGGGGCGCGACTGCCCCAGGTGGTGCGGTCGAAACTAGCGGTGCGCAGCAAGAGCGGTGCGCGACGTTATCTCACACTATGTGAGGCGGTTACTTCTGGGGTGCGACTGCCCCAGGTAGTGCGGTCGAAACTAGCGGTGTGCGGCAAGAGGACGCTCGAGGGCAGCGCGCGAACCTTTATTGGCTCGGCTTTCCCACCAATTCATCTCGATGGGGCGCGCGTTTATTGGTCGAAAGAATCGCGTCACCTTCTAGACCTCCCCCTCCCCCTTCAGTGTGTACGGAAGTGATATGAGGTTATAGGAAAGAGAAACTCTTGGCAGCAATTTACCCTCGAACAAAATTAAAAATACACAAATCATTTCCGCGTAACCAAAAGCCATATTGTTGGTCAATTAAAAACTTCTTTTTTATTAGGTATTCATTTAGGCGGTTATAAAGTACTCGTTTACATATCTTTGATGTAACAGGCAAGACAGAGATTGGTCTTACTTGAGTCAGTCCTACTTTCGGATTTAAAAATAGGACAGACCTTAGCAATTTTAAGTCTGTCGGAAAAAACACCGCGTGTCAAACACATATTTATGCAGTTCGTTATGTACGGTCCAACCGTACATTTCTGCTGGCGTTAACATTTTACGTGAAGCAATCGATATAGTTTGACAATTATAAAAATTGTGTTGGTTCACGTAATCACCGTAAACGCGACGGACGCGAGCTCATAACATTAACATTTAACATTTTTTAACATATTTTAATCTTATATTTTAACTTCTTTATTAAACTGTTTTTATATAAAATTTTAATTACTATTAAACATACGTCCTATACCCGAACATTTTTGGTCCCTCGAGCGAAAAATAAACATTTTTGGGTCCTTCGAAACGTGCATTGGACCCTCGTGTGTTTCAAAGACAGTGAAGTGACAGTAAGAATGAGCGAACATTTCAAACTCAAACATAACAGTGGTCGTCTTACTCAACATCCACAACATTTGGCTTGGCTAAGCAGCAGCTTGTCTAGGTTAAGAAGCAACAAGCGTCGGCAAGTTGGTCAGCAGCAGCATCAGCAGATATCAGCAGTGACAAAGGATCTTTCCTTTTTTCAGTTCTGCATTTAATAGCAACATGGAAAACGTACACGCTAATCAGGTCGAGATTGTAGGAGCTATTCGTAAAATTGGTGCCAATATTAAAAAAGATGGGTCAGAGCGTAAAACATTAGATTATTTTAAAAGAAAACTTGAGGTTTTGGAATCGTACTGGCAAGATTATCAGAAAAATCATAGTCAACTAGTAAAGAGTGAGAGTCGAACACATCCCTACTTTACAAACTCCGAGTACGAAATTGCAAGGGAACAATATAACTCGGTTAAAAATATAGCAGTATCAGGATTTTCTGGCTAGCCAGAAGTATTATCCAGCCCCTGAAGGTAAAACAACTCAACAAATGGAACAGCGTGGATTAGGTGAACCGTCTTCGGGAAAATCGGTGGAGCCACAAGAAGCTCTCCGCCCAAAGGTACATCGAGAAACAACCAGTAAGTTAGATGACATGTTGCGCAAACAATATAATATAAATAACATTGCGGAAAAATGAGAATTTGAAGATTCTTTGAAAACATTAGAGTCGCGATGGTCGGCTATAGATTCTCTGCATTTTGAAATTGATCATGATCTCAATGGGGATGACGAAGAATATACTACTACTTTTAGTACGTATGAATAGGAGTTTATGGATTTGAAGAGAAAACTCAATTCCAAAATGTGGTCTGTCAATCACCGAGAAAGCTGTACGCCTAGAATGGATATCGCTACGTTTAACGGCAATTATAACCAATGGATACCATTCAAAGATCTTTTCATGGAAAGCGTTCACAAAAACCCGTCGCTTTCGAACGCTCAAAAAATGCAATTTTTAAAGAGTAAACTCCAAGGGGATTCAGAGCGTTTAATACAGCATTTGAATGTTAGTTCAGAAAATTATGTAACCTGTTGGGAAATTCTAAATCATAGGTTTGACAACAAGCGACGAATTTTCGTATCTCACATTAGCCTATTGCTTGGTTTCCCTAATATTCAGCAGCAAGCGGTAAATCAAATTAAAAAATACATGATACATCTTTAGAATGCCTAAACGCTATCAAAAACTTAGGCGTAGATATTAGCACACGGGATCCGCTGTTAGCACACATACTGTCGCAAAAATTAGACATGGAAACATATATACAGGATATATAGAATCGCAAAGGAGGTCCAGAGATCTACCTGTGCTACAGGAGTTTGTGGACTACTTAGAAAGCAAATTTACAGCACTTGAATTATGTCGGCGAAAACAGGATAATACATCAAAATTGGTGGAGCGTCGAGCCTAAGGTTGCCGAAGTCTAATTCCGCGGTCGAACCTTAAAACCTATTACGCGAGCTTTTAATCTAAGTGGACTGTATCTACAAAATGTTTTACACTTATATAAACGGCGACTATAGCATGCGGTACAATGCACTCGCTCTTCCCTAAAAACGAACTATTATTTGCCAAATCGATGAAAGGAATCCTGCTTGATTAGGAGAAAACAAAATTGGAGCGGGTTAAAACACAATTATATCAAGCAGGCAATATTATTAGGAATATTCACTCACCGGGGTGTCTCTTCTATGCTGTTGGGCACTATAGCTGCGACTTCTGGAACTTCTTCTGGGTAGACTCTCTGGAGAGAGGCGGTGCGCGACTATATCTCACACGAGGTGAGGCGGGTTTCCTGGAGCTCGACTGCTTCCAGGCTAAAGCGGTTCTACTAGCGGTGTGGTTCCAACAACGAGCGCGGTGGGAAGAGCTCTTTAGGACACTATTATCCTAGGCGGTGCGGTTCCAACGACGAGCGCGGCGGGAAGAGAGTGCGCGTCGGTCGCGCGTGCCTTTTATACCTTCGGTTGCGATGATTACGTGATATTCTAGAATCATCTTTTTTCCCCTCCTACACCACCAACCCGATGTGTCGATAGGAGGGTAGAAATGATATCGTTTTGGAAAGGGATAAGCGATTTGGCAGCCTACCGTCAAAATAAATAAATACGAATGGTTTTCAGCGCAACCATCTCCCCCCGCTCTTGAAGGATCTCCTTCAAAAAATAACTAAAACAACTAGAGCTAAGATCAAACCAACAAAATAACTAACTAACGCTAAAATTAACTAAATTCAACTACAATTTCTAATCTAGAAAGCTAATTTAAATTATGGAAGAGGCAGGGGGCACAAACGGACAACAGGACGCAGGTAAGACCCAACCGTGGTCTTAACGCGAGCTACCCTAATTACTCCGTCGGAACCGGGAAAGACCCCTTCGACAATTCCTAACGGCCAGTGGAGAGGCGGCGTATTCTCTTTGGTGAGCATAACTACAGTTCCTACAGCTAAAGGCTCAGTTGCTGTGTTCCATTTTTGCCGAGACTGCAAAGTATGCAAGTATTCCATCCTCCATCGTTTCCAAAACGATTGCACTAACCGGTCTAATAATTTGTGGCGTGCGGAAATGCTAAGTCTGTTCTCATCCATATCTACGGCGGGCAAATACTTTAAAGGCGTTAAATTTAAAAATGTGCTGGAGTTAGAGCCAGCGGTTCCGAGGGGTCACTAGACAACGTACGACAAAGTGGGCGGCTATTCATTACGCATTCAATTTGAGCGAGCACCGTACTTAGCTCTTCGAAGGACAAAATTTGATCTCCTATTACTCGGTATAAGTGACTCTTTAGAGTCTTAATATTCGTCTCCCAATTGCCGCCAAAATGACTCGCGGCTGGGACGTTCAGAGACCACTCAATGCGGTTCTCGGCTAGAATGTGAGCGAACTCCGAATTATAATACTTGCTAGCTAAGAGCTCATGTAGTTCTGATAAAATACGTTTTGCACCGACGTAGTTCGTACCGTTATTCGAATATAATTTACTTACAGGGCCACGGCGGGATAGAAATCTTTTAAATGCACCCATAAAGCCTGCTGTGCTTAGATCACCAACGAGTTCTATATGCACCGCTCGAGTAGTTAGACATACGAAAATGCAGACGTAAGCCTTTGTGGATCTTATACCACGCCCGCGAGTGAGCGTGACCTTAAACGGACCAGCGAAATCAGACCCGGTGTGCGTAAAGGGCTTTACTGATTGTATTACTCTACAATATCTAAGTTCCGCCATTTCCGGATCTTGGCTACTCGGTTCGCGACAAACGTATCCCAACGGTGGGGTGAAGTATGAACCCAGCATAAGGCGACGGTGGAGTCGGAAAAGGCAAATATCCTTTCTATGAGAACTCTATCCCTACATGCGCTGATAACGCTGCCACAACCGAACAATGCTGTCAGGCGGCGGGTCATCCCAATCGCATTCAAATATCCAAAGTTGTTTAATCAAAAGCTTAGCGTATAATACCACCGGAGCTACGACATGACGTCCCATAATCTAGCAACGCATGACAGTATTGTGCGCCTTGTGCATTTCTCTACGGGCGGATTTACCTTAAGAACTGAAACACAAACCGAGCACCTTGTGTGTATCACAATCGTCGAATTCCTTTATCGCCGAAAGACGGTGTGATAGTGGGATTGTATCTAAAACCGGACGCGAATTACTAGTCCACTTCACAAGATCGAATTGACCCGATTTCATGAGCTTTATAACCTCGGCGGTGGTTAGGGTAGGCCTCCTCCACGCTATCGACCGAGTATACAAAATCATCCATATATAAACCGCTCTCAATTGCCCTCTTAGCTTTAGGGTAAGAGGGACCTTCATCGTGGGCGAGCTGTTTCACCGTGCGTAACGCATGAAATGGGCTCGACTTTAAACCAAAACAAACGCGGTTAAATTCAAACACCATTAGAGGTTCCTTTGGGTTGAAACGATATAAAATGCGTTGGAATCTACGGTCGCATTCACGGACCCCTATGCAAAGAAACATTTGGCGAATATCGGCGGATAGTGCTATACTAAACAAACGAAAATTGGCTATTATATTAAATAAACTGCCCTGTAAATTTTGCCCACTATAGAGGATATCGTTAAGCGACAGGTGAGTGCTAGTTTTAGCACTAGCGTCGAGCACTACACGTAACTTAGATGTAAGTTTGTCCTCCCTAATGACCCCGTGGTGTGGTATGAAATACGACGGTGTGTCTTCGTAGTTATCTAATTTTGAATACCACGAGTGATATGTAACCTTCTCTTATATATTCGTTAATGACGCCGTCATAAGCTTCCTTTAACTGGGGTGAAGCGAGCATCCTACGCTCCAAGCTGTAGAAACGTTTTTCCGCCATTTGACGCGAATCGCCGAGAGATAAAACATCTCCTTTAAAGGGCAGCGCTACACTATATCTACCGTCGCGATCACGAACGGTCGTGCGGACGTAAATTTCCTCGCATAATCTGTCATCTGAGCTAGCTATGGGTGGGACGTTCACCTCCTCCATCTCCCAAAATTTGCGGACTAACGACTCGAGCGGTTCGATAGCCATACCACAATAAGAGGTTGCCGAAATACTATCCATGATGGGGGCGGAGCCAACGATGACGTAGGCCAATACGGTTTCCAGTGCGTAAGGCGCGGTATGCGAGGAGTTGCCCCTGACCTTGTTATTTAGCAAAAGATGAGGGAAAAGCGATGCTCCAATGAGCATGTCTATGTTTCCAGGAACGTCGAAAGTGTCGTCCGCTAGAGTCAAATTTTTAAATTCAATCATTGCCGAGGTGTCAACCGAAACGCTTGGCAACCTTTCAGTGACCCTATCCACTACTAGTGCATTTATATCAAAGTTAACATTACGATCTATCCGAGAATGAAATTTTAAATTTATATATCCCTGGGTAGCTTTGCTAGTACCTCCGATGCCTTTGACTACAGGACATGAAAGTGACCTATTTATTACTAAGCCTAAGCGCTGACAACATTGTCGCGTTATAAAGCTATTTTGGGCTCCGCTGTCCAGCAGTGCACGGACGCTTTGTTCGTTTCCACGCGAATCCCTAACCAAAATACGCGCCGTACCCAGTAACACGGTTGAAGGAGGTTGTGCTAGCATATTTGCCAATGAGCACAGAGCGACATCACCAGGTCGACCGCTAGAATCGTTGACTTTAGTAGGGGTGAATTCCTTGTCCGCTTTACTTGACGCCGCTATGTTGCTATTTTCAAAATGTAATTGCGTGTGATGTTTCCTGGCGCACTTGCTACATACGGAACTCGAATTGCATTTTGCAACTAAATGCTTATCACTTAAGCAGTTCAGACATAGGTTGTTTGTCTTTACTAATTTATAACGTTCGCTTGGTGAATATTTACGAAAAGTCACACAATTGTATAAATTACCGTGTTTATCTTTACATACGATACAAGCATGCTGAAGTGATG